TGTCTGGAGAAATCAGCAGAAGGCTTGAAGGGATCTTAGAAGGACTTTATTAAGGAAGACCTAAGTAACACTTTCTGTATGTAACAGTTTAAAGCTTTAAATCTAGTAACAGCGCACAAATTCAAGGATAGCTAACCTGCAAGGTTCAGATGAACACCCCAAAACGTTTTGAAGACTATCTTCAGGTTATTGAGACAGAACACTATGCTGCGAAAGCATAATGAGACAATCTCAAGGAATAGGATCAAAATCTAAGACCAAAAGACCACAGGAGGCAAACAATACTGTTCTGTAGCCCTAAGTAGTGAGACAACATCAACAAGTAAAGGAGGACCTAACTAAGAACATTAATCCGATCTATTAAAGATAGGATGAAAAAGTTAGAAAAATCCGAAGAGAGGAGTTCTAATTGAGGAGACAAATAACATAAGGATTAACAATCCTCGAATAGGCCATAAATGACAATATAAAAACTTTAGGAAGTATTTAACCAAAAAGACCAGTTAAAACTTAACCCAAATAATAGTGTATAAAACGTAGATATAGAAATCTGGCGGGAACGGATTAAAGAAAGCTGAGTTAAACAAAATGTAGAATTAGAAGAGCGGACATAGATTCCATTTTTAACATTAAAGCAAATATTGACTTATTTGGGTAAAAATTTAACATGAAAGCAAAATATGGACTTAATTGGGTTATAAGTATAGACCCCATAGCATTCCAAAACCTAATGAAAACTAAAAAAGTTAATATTCAATGGTCAGGAAAAAGTGTAAAAGAATATCTTAAAGTAACGCAGTGTATTAATTGCTTAAAGTTCGGTCACACAAAAAGGACATGCAACTCAGAGAAGTGCTGCTCTAAATGTGGGAAACAGGGGCATATCAAAGCAGAATGTAAGTCCGAAAGGACCAGATGTGTCAACTGTCATCAAGCAAACGAACAGCATAATTTGAACTTAGAAACCAAACATAACAGTTTAGAAAAAGAGTGCGCATGCAAAATAAGAGAATTAGAAATCCTCAGAAAAGTGAGTGAGTGAGTGAGTGAGTGATTATGGCGCAAAAAACCAAGATGATTAAACGCGCGAAACACAAGATGGGATGATTACAAATGATGAAATTAATATACAATAAATAAAAACAAGTATACAAATGTACCAAATCCAGAGGATGAAGTCATATAAACACAAGTTAAAAGCACGCATTAAAATTCAAGACACAGTAATCAAAACAAATTAATTCGGTAATAAAAGCCAGTCTCTTTAATATAAAATAAATTACAATTGACCTCTCTTCCGAATAAACAGTCGAGAGGAAGTCACAGCTATTAAATATTTCTGGCGAAGACTATTAAAACTGAACACTCAATTAAAATAGACGAACAGATAAACAAACATTACAATTAAAACAACAGGCTCATTTTCAGCTTTGAGAAGATAGTTATGTGTGACTCTAGTGTGACCAATTCTGAGGCGAGTCAAAAGAACGTCCTCCTTACGATTTCCAGCAAAATCCCAATGCTCAATTTAGGCTTGACGTTTCTCACTTGTTGTGATGCTGAGCATCCCAAATTTGTTGCCATTTTTTTCGGACCTTTCCCTTGATGACACTGCAGATATCTCTAAAAGGGAAAGAAGGCGACAGGACAGTTCAACAGCAGATTTGGCTGCGATATCTGCAAGCTTTTTCCCTTATTCCAGCATGTCCAGGAAACAAGCAGTACAGGACTTTATAACCTCGAAACGTTAAAGGTTATATGAATTTTGAGAACATCCACTACCACAGGATACTGAGTGTTGGGAAAACTTCCAAGATTTAAGGCACTATACGAGTCCGTGTAAACTATTTTCTGGCAAGCTTTGAGATGTACAAAAGACCATAATATATTGCAGTAGTAGTTCACATGTTAGGACTGAGAAAGCATGGTGCTTGCATTGCCCTCAATGTAATCTTCAAATACAAAAGCCATCTCGACATTGATCATTTTGACTTTGATCCATCTGTGTATAGGGATAATAACTGCGATATATCTGTGCTGTGTGCTCAGCGAGAGTTGTCTGTAAACGATCTCGTTAGTGCTCGCCTTTACGTGATGTTTGAAAACATCAAGAAGCTGGATCCGTGAATTTCCCAAGGTGGAATTTCAAATTCTGTACTGCTTGAGGGTGCATATCAGAGAGGAAAGTTCCTCAATGATAGGGCGAACTCTTAAAGGAAAAGTAGGAACACAGGATGGGACGTGTTTCAAATAATGGTTAACTCATTATCAAGTAAGCACAGCTTATTGGGATGTTCAGGTTGGGATAGAAATATTAAAATATTGCCAAAAGGGACAATTGCTCACGCCCTCAGATAAAGGATGGTCCGTTAGAGTCACTTATAGGCTCTGTACAGGAGAAGTCCTGAGAGCTCCTGAACAATCCGAGACTTGACGGTGAACAGGATCCAGTTTTAACAAACAGATGACCCGAGCGGATCCATAAACAACTGAGCCATTGTTCTAGTCTAAGCGGATAAGCGCTCTGTAAATGCGAAGCAAGAGCAACGCTCTGCACCCAGGAGGTGTTCGCCAACACTTTTAAATATTTAGTATTTTTAGACACTTCTTTCTCAGGTTGAAAACATGCGAAAGGAAAGCCTCCGGTTTAGCTGAAGCAGAGGCCAAAGCAGTGTGTTGGGGACAGTACCTCGCCCCTCAACTACCAGGACCCTCCTTTCCAGCGACACGGGTCTCCACGCACGCCAAACACGTGGGCAGTTTTCTCGCCACTCGAAAACTAGATGCAAGGGCTGCTCCAGTCTCTCGTGCCGAGGCCCAAACTCCGTAGAGAGAAACCACAAGGGAGAAGCGAAGGGAAAAGGTTCCAGCCAAGAGGATAGGAGACGGAAAAGAGGACAGATCACTGGGACTCCAGGATCGTGACACCCGTCTCACCAAGAAGATGATCCCCTGAAGGGCTAGGGTACCTCGGGATTGCCACACCCGTACTCACAAAAGTGAGCCCCCTGAGGGCAAATCCTCAGAAAAAGAATCAATTATGGGATCAATTAAAATTACGCAACTAAACTTACAGCATTCAAGGAGTGCAACGTTACAACTTAGACAGGACTTAGAAATGGACAATAGATTTAAATTTGCATGCATACAAAAACCGTATGTTCTGAAAAACAAAGTCAGTGGTTTCCCACTAAGACACAGAGCGTATTACGCAAATACAAACGCAAAATCCGCAATAATAGCCACGGATACTAATATTCCGATCTTAGAATTAAAGACAACACCAGAAGATAGTAGTGATAAAAGTATAGGGCACAGTCTCCTTTATACTAATATTGGTGTATTGTCCCCCGCATGACGATATAGAAGAAACAATGTCAGTCCTAGACTACATAATGGAAGAAAGAGAAAATGACAACATAATCATATGTGGCGATTTCAACGCCAAAAGCAGAGTCTGGGGTTCTTTGAACTCAGATATAAGAGGTTCCAGAATAAACGACTTTATTGCGATACATAACATGTGCATGTGCATCATAAACGATGCAGACAGCCCCACAACATTTATGGGATCAAGAGGAAACTCATGGATAGACCTGACCATAGTTAAATATAAGACGGGACTTAACATAGAGAATTGGAAAGTCGCGAAAAGAAACACGCTAAGTGACCATAACGCGATTAACTTCGAGGTTAACTCACGCTTCAAAAGTACAACAATAGGCATGAGGATGAAAAGAGGACACACAGATTGGCTTCTACTAAAAGAGGGTATAAATAAAGTAATGTCCAAGGATTATAATCTAAACACAGAAGAGGAAATTAATGAGACAATACAATTAATATCGAAAGATTTAAAAGAAGTGTACATCGGGGCATTACTCCCAACACACAAAAGGGTAAAAGGAGATACAAAGAAATCAAACCCATGGTGGAATCACCATTTCAAAAAAGAGCGCAAAGACATTAAAAAGTTAAGGTGGGAGTATCAACATACATACAACGAAGAAAGACAAGACTACAAAAGAGCGCTACAAAAGAGCAAAGGCGCAATACAAAAAGAATATTAATAAAGCGAAACAAAAATCATGGGAGAAATTACTGGAATAAGTTGAAAATAAACTCACCATTTGGTACGTATTTTGATATAGTAGAAGGGAGTTACTACCAACCATTAAAAATAAGTAAAATTAAAAAGAATGCAGACGAATGGACAGACACAATAGAAGAGACCCTCAGGCATATAATTAAATATCATTTTCCCCAAGACGAGGAAAACTCAGACACAATAGAACATGGGATAATGAGACAAGGGGCCAGGATTAGCCCAAACACAGATAACGACATCCCGTTCACAGGGGAAGAAATTAGAAATATAATTAAAAACAACAAAGAAAGGAAAAGCCCCAGGGTTAGATGATCTCTCAATCGAAATAATAGAAGAAGCAATGATCTCCAACGAAGATCTCTTTGAAGAAATATTAAATAAGTGCCTAGAGAAGGGATACTTCCCGAACACATGGAAAGAAGGGAACTTAGTGTTATTCCAAAAAGAGGGAAAAGATAAAACAACGCCAGGAGCGTATCGCCCCATATGCTTACTATCAGCATGGGCCAAGGTATAAGTTACTGGCGAAAAGGTTAACATATTTCCTAGTAACAAAAAAGCGCTGAACATCAAACAATACGATTTTATACCCGAAAAAAGCACAATGGATGCATTAGAGGGTTTAATGCTGCAAATAGAGGAAAACAGAAGAGAAGGCATGCACACATGCGTAATATCATTAGATGTAGCCTCCGTCTTCAACAATCTGTGGTAGCCGGAAGTACTAGACAGGCTCAAATCGCTAAAGTGCCCGAGAAACATATACGAGCTAGTAAGTAGCTACCTAAATGAGCGTTCAATTGTATACAACAGAGACGGAACACTATTAAGACACGCGTACCAGAAGGGAGCCCCTCTAGGTTCAAACCTGGGCCCCATACTCTGGAATGTAATGGCGGATACAGCGCTAGCCCTGGATCTAGGAGAAAATGTAAGAATTCAAGCATACGCGGATGACTTCATACTGATAATTAAAGGAGGGAACAGGCTAAGACTAGAGGACCACGCCCACAGAGCGCTACAACAAATAGACGAATGGAGCCTAAAGTACAAGCTCCAATTCAGCATAGAGAAGACAAAGCTAATACTTTTTCCGAAAGGAACAAAGCTTCACAGATCACCATCCAGAATAAAATGGAAGGGAATCCCAATTCCGCGTAAAGATGTACTCAAGTACCTGGGCTTTGTATTGGATTCCAAGACAACATGGATTCCACACCTAAGTACAATAAAAGATAGGACCCAGATCATGATAAATAAACTTAATAACATAGTCTCACGGACATGGAATATGAAGGGGAAATTAATAAAGATCATCTCTAATAGAGCAATAGAAAGGATGATCCTTTATGGATGTCCGATTTGGCATACAGGGACGGCACGGCAAAAGCAAAAATTACTACAAATACAAAGAGGAGCCCTCCTAAGTATTACAAAAGCTTATGCAACAACACCGACTTCAGCACTCCAAGTCCTTTCGGGAATATTACCCCTGGACTTGCGAGCAGAGATGGAAAGGCAAATGTACAGGCTCATCCACTTTAAGGAAGATACCAGAATAGGATACATAACAATCTGGGCCCATGAAGTCGAAGAAAGACTTCCAGCCCTCCACATGCACTCAGCAAAGATCATAAAGACAAAATGGGACAAAGATCCGCCACAGGGTAAAGATCTCGAGACATATACAGATGGCTCCAAAATGGAGAACAAGGTAGGAGCAGCATTCGTAGCTTTCCTCAACAATGAGGAAATCCACAGAGAACAATACAGGCTAAATGACGAAGCCACAGTGTTCCAGGCGGAAGTCTTAGCACTCAAAAGAGCGCTCCTTTGGATAGACCAAAGGACAGAAAACACGCTTAGAATATTCACTGACAGCTTAAGCACGCTACAGAGCTTAAATAGTATAGAACAAAGATCAAGAAGCATAATTAGTCTAAAAGAGATGATCCATACGATAAGGGATAACAAAGACCTTGAAATAAACTGGATAAAAGCCCACGACGGAAACAAAGGGAATGAGAGTGCGGATGAAGAAGCCAAAAGGACCACACAAAGATCCTCAATAGACATAACAGTTCTTCTACCGGAACAGTCGGCAAAATCAAAGATCCTACAAGAAACACTAAGGACATGGCAGGAAAGATGGGAGGAAGAGGAAACGGGCAGAGAAACATACAAATATTACCCGAGAATATCTCTCAAAAGGCTCAGGGCAGATCATCTATTGGCTCAAATATTTACGAATCACGGAAGATTCCCGAGCTATATGTCACGCTTTCACAAGCAACAAGTACGGTGCGCCTGCGGCACGAATGGGTCTTTAGCGAACGCAGCCCACTACCTCCACAGATGCCCACAACTCACCAAAATTAGAGCGAAGATTCTCCCAAGAATTCCAAGTCCAGAAATACTGACTACCAGTAAGCGACATCTAGCGGCAGTGAGGGAACTCATGAAAATCATCTCAGATCCCTCAAACAACCTAATTGTGACGACGTGAGATTTCACAATTAAGAGACCTTGCATGGTCGACTATCTTCTGTATATATGTAAATAGCCCCGTAATAATGTATTAATTCTTAACTTACTAATCTCGATGTTAATATTAATAAGCAGATCATTGTAACCTCTTCTAATTATAACCGTTTTGTTAGTATATATTAATCTTTGTTTGTAACTTTCTAATATTAATAATAAAGTATTTAAAGAAAAGATGGCCTGAGAGCCCAGATAAAACGATTTGTTGGGGACAAAACCCCGACGGATCCTCCAGTCAGAGAGAGCGCAGTATGGTGTTTGCATATCTATGAAAAACAAGCAGGAGAGATTTCGCCGCAAAGGCCCTCTCATTATCGCAGATTAGCGGAAAGGCTTCATAGGGACATAAGATAATGACACCAGAAGACCAGTCTCCTCCCGCCTAATACGGAGTGAGTAACCTAAAGCACGGATGGATTGGCAAGGTCCACAATGGTATCAAGCGGTGTCAGGTAGCTTAAACACCATTCTCACTCCCGCCTAATACGGAGTGAAGAAACGCCAAGTGCCGACGTGGATTCAAACACCACATCTGGCAAGGCGACCGGTCATTAAAGTAAACAAAGCCACCCGCCTAACACGGTGTGCTTCCCACAGTTGCGTCATCTGACGCAGGAGTGGCGTATAAAGGTTGATTGATTACGTTACAATTGTTACTTTTTCCTGTTTCTTCTAAATTTCGGTAATATATTAAAACAACGAGCGATTCTGTTTAACTTTCATTTGTATAAATAACCACAAGACAAACTGTTGTAAAACGAGTTATCTTCATTCACTAGCTTGCGGTCGTTGGGAAGATAATGCACACCTGCTGTCTGACAATGATTCTTCATTCTCAGGACTCATCCGTAAAATGTTCTTTTCAAACAGACTTCACACCCTATTAAGGCTTTTGTGCCAACTGACAGCCGCCTGCAGAAAGGTAGGGAAAGGAAGACCAGATCGCGTCGTCTAAACACGTCTTAAGCAATCTTCGCGAAATTTGGGCATCGTGTATACACGTCTTAAGCATTTTTCGTGCGATTTGAAATTTGTGTAAAGACGTCTTAAGCATTTTTAAAGGAAACTCCAAAAACGTTTAAACACGTCTTACGCAGTTAAAGGGTTAAATACTGAATAATATATATATATATTTATATATATATGTATATGTATATATATTATCATAAGCAAAGTTGTAAGAACAATACAAAAAAGACCAATTTTGGTCAAAATTTTTTGCGCAAAGTGCTGCAAAATTAAGGAAATGAGAAGAGAAATTGTAGTTAGCTCGCCAAAAAGTTACCAAAAGCTGTGGCTCCAAGAAAAATCCAACATATGGATATTCAGTAGTTTTTACAAGTTCGAATAAAAAACTATATGTTAAATATTTTCGGAAATTTTAACACAGTTTTAAAAAACTAATTAAATTGAATGAGGTGACATATTACGCTACATGTGAAATAAAATGTAAATTATAAAACACAGTAAAATACTAATCGATGGAAGAAGTTAAAGGCAAAAAATAAAACACAGTAAAAAACCAATCGATGGAACAAGTAAAAAATATTAAAAATTAAAAAGCGGAAAATGGTAAATTAGCTCAATTCGAGGTCCACTCTGGCTTTTCAAGGGAAATTTTCTGAGTGAACATCGAACCAAGCTAACTCCATTACGCGTTTCACCGAAACAGACAATTGAAACTTTGCGTTACAAAATTTTTAATTAATTAAATAAACTGTATTAAAAATTTTTTTTAGTCTCAATTCTCTGTTCCAATTTCCCGACGCGTCCGCATAAATTGACACATTAAGGTGTAAAAAATGTAAATGTAATTCCGATGTACAGCAATAATAACAATAAAAATAAAAATAAATAGCGGTATGCTATTAGTCAAAATATACAATAACGTACGGGCTGGACCTGCAAGCTTAAAGAATTAAAACTTTATAAAGGAATCTGAAATTAAATTTAAAAGGAATAAGGAAGAAATAAAACAACCAACAGCGTGGGTCTTGCTAAGACCGAGAAAAACATTTTTAAAAGAAATATTAAAAAAACAGACCTGTGGCTATGCTGTCTTCTCTTGCGTGGAGGAAAACAAAAAGGGGTTGTAATTCCTCCTCCGCGCTTTTCATCGCTCCTCCAACTTGTCGTGTGACGTAGGAAGGGGGATCCAAGGTCACTGGGCAATAGCCAATATCAAAAGACTGTCCGTTTGCGGGAACCCGCCTAAAGCCAAAGGGGAGGCGAAAGACGTGGAAAAGTTCAAATGGCATCTGGTCAAGTAGTTTTAAGAAGGAGGACTGGTGCAAAAGTGAAAATGGCTAATTCAGCTAAAAATTACTTAACATGGCCACAAAAGTAAGAGAAAAACGGAAAAATAGTCATTTGTTAATGAAAGTCGTAATTCTTCAAGTTAGAGGGCGATCAAGCTTCACAAAACGAAAAGTCCCGTTTGTTAATAATAGTAGTAGAATTGGCCACCAAAGTAATTTAAAACTATTTAAACAATAGTATTAAAAGTATTGTGCCAAATTTTTGGAGTAAAGAAAACGTAGTGACAAGAATTATCTGTACATTTATACATTAGATTCTCAGAATCAGCCATCCACTTTATACCGTCCCATTGGGCTTTAAGTATAAAATATCATTATCTAACTCAAAAAATCTAAAAATTGGTAAGGTTAATGCCAGCTTTTTAAAGGTATTTTTAATTACTTTTTGAGGAATGAGGTTATTTTTCAAGATTGTCACGAAGTATAGTATTTCTTTTTGAAGGTGTTTTGCTGTATTGCAGATTCTTTTAATTCTAAGTAGCTGTGAATAGATTGTGTTAAGGATGACTCTTTTGGATATATTTGAATTCCAGTTGGTTAATTTTAGTGTTGAAAAATTGAATTCTCTTCTTTTGTCCTAAACTTTTAATAAATTGTAATCAATAATATGTAAATCAAGGTAGACTACATTATGTTGCACCGTATTTGTATTATTTCGTTTTAAGTATGTTTTAAGTATGTTCATTTTCTATTTTGTTGAAGTTGTTAAAGGCAATTACATCATCAATATATCGATAGATGTGCTGGTAAAATTTATGTTCTTCCTTACTGAGTGAACGTATAAAAGTCAATTCTTTTGTAAAAAGGAATAATTCAAATGCAGGGAATTCCAATGGGAGGTAATTTTTCACAGAACTTGAAAAATTACCTCCCATTGGAATTCCCTGTATTTGTTTAAAGATGTTATTCTTAAATTGAATAAAATTATTGCAAAGTACGCTTGAGAGAAAAAGTTGCCATTTTTCGGTATTTATTATTGTAGAGATTTGCGGAAATAAATCAGGAAGAGCAAGTAAACTTTTATAAATTTCTTCATGTGGTAAAGAGATTTTCAAAGTCGTAGCATTGGATATGTTCTATTTTAAGTGTATTTACAGTTTTTAGAACTTGTTCGTTACTTGAAATCATCCAGTTGCAATGCAGATCCTTAAAATCATAGTTATTAATGAGGTCACGTATTAGGCGTAGTTTTTGTGCAAATAGATAATCTATTTCTTTAAGCTAATTTTTGGTACTATTGGCAATGAACCTGAATTTGATCGGAGACTTATGAAATTTTGTTAGTGCATAGAGATTTGCAACCTGTTATTATATTCCTGAGATGTATTTTAAGTCTTTTATGTAGTGTATTAAATTTATTGAGAAGAATCTTAGTGCTGGTAGGAATCTTTTGGTAGCTGCAAGTGTTATTCAATTCATTATGCAGAAGGTCGAAGTAAAACGTTTTTCAAATAACACTAAAATTGTTGCTAGCTTTGTCAATCTTCGTGATGATAAAGTTATATTGCAGTTTTTGAATAAGATTTTCTATATGCTTTTTACTGTGCAAAGAATTGAAATTAGGCGACTTGAAAAGCAAAAGTTGAAATTCTTCAATTAGTGCAGCTTTCCATTCAAGAAAAGTAGTAGTAGGTAAATTGGATCTATTACTAGCTAAAATGATAAATTTATCAAGATGATTATTGAAATGTTTCAGATAAAAGTGCTTATTAATACTGAAAGTACGACGAAATTTGGTGCCAAGTTGCATAAGGGCTCGCAATTCTAGGTCTTCAATGATATTGGGATCTCAAGTAACAACATGATGGTGAAAAGGATCTACATATTTATTGTAAATAAAAAGTTGCCAATTACATATGCTATCTTCTTGAATAACGTGGTGGTTGATAACTAGTTGACCTCAACACGCGGAATTTATTTTAGAGTTGTCCACTTGTGCTGCTCGATGTGCATGTTTTTCTGGACCTCAAACTCTTCAACTTTCTTTTGAGTTCTGTAAACTTACCATTCCACAAGTCCTTGGGTTTCTAATATAGCAGTTGCATTTGAAGCGATCCAGCACCAATTCCAAATGTCTCATTGTTGATATCATTTATATTTGCATTGAGAGGATTTACTATGAACGCAAGAGTACTTTTGTTTGTTTTGAATTGCTCGAATCTCTCATTCATACTTAAGCTATGTTGAAGTAATTCGTGTCAATAATTGCATTGGTCTTATTGCGATATACTTCAGATTTTTAAAATGAATTAATTTACCTCTCTCCATGTTCTTCAACAAAAATAAGTAATTTGTTTTCGAAACAAACTACTTCAAGCAAGGCGTAGGCTGGGTTGCCCTTTCCTTGCAGTTTTAGATTTAGCTCATTTAGTTTCATTGTGGTATCTACTATGAAGTAGAATTTTTGCAGCCGTTTGTCTTCTTTTAATTCGGGATGGTCAATGTTTTTTTTCATTGAGGAATGTTTTTATTTCACTCAAGCACAAAGTAAAACATTGCAAAACGTTACTTCTGGAAAGCCATCACACTTTATCGTGCAGAAGCAGGTCAGAAAACTGGTTATCTATCAAGGAAATCTTTAAACTAGTGATGGTAGAGTGCTTTTGCAAAATGCTGTAATAATCTTAATTACCAAGTTCATGAC